GACAAAGTCACCATCAGTCAATTGCAAAAGGCAGCTTTACTTGGAACAGCTTATATTCTGCAGTGATACCTTTAACACCGTCAAACATCTGCCTATCCCAGGGCCTTGGGAAGGACTCAATAGGTGGATAAAAATGCTAAATCCAGTCTAAACATCTGGCTGTGTGACCAGCCATAATAATAAGTTAGTGAGATATGCCGCTTTGGGGGGTCTGTTCCTTACTGTTGAGACCATCACAGTAAGGTACGGATGCACAGGCTACTAAATCAGTGGTAGTTGAGAGGGAGGGAAGTAAAGACTGGGGATTGGGCAGGCAGGCAGGTACCATGCGAGGATATTGGTGGTGGCTGTAGTGATGGGTGAAGGAAGAGAAGAACGAGAAAGTGTTGGGAAGACAGGATGAGTGACCTAGCGGCAGGGGGATGGTGCTCAGAAAACAATATTCACCCTATAAAATCACTCTGTCCATGATTCCTTTGGATTTTGTTCAATCCCAAATCTAAAACATCCAAGTTTTGTTTCAAAGCCTATTGAAATAGTTCATAATTTGCAGAATGCAATGGGTTTTTTATTTTTTTGGATTCAATACAAAGTGTATTAATTATTTCATGCACATCCCTAGGTAGCAGGCTTTAAGTTAGGCCACATCTGAATTTTTTAAAATAAAGTTTTGTGTTAAATGAATAATAGGGGTAAATAGTTGATGTTTATTATACATAGGCCATTGTTTATAAAATTAGATACTAATAATAGTGGGAATACCATTAAGGTACTTCTCAGCACCAAGTTGTAGAACTTGAAAGGATGATAATCATAGCATTCAAGTGGCAAAGAAGCTGTTTTAAAGCACTTGCTTTGAAGAGTTACTAGATGGTAGAATCAGTGATTAATCATTAATGGCCTATAAGTTTAGAGAAGAAAAATCACTATGATCTGCATATCTTAGTAACTGCTTTCAAACTATGAGCAGATAGTAAACTGAATGTACATTAGTCATAATCTGTGATGCAAAACACACACACAAAAGATGTTTACATAACCCAGTGTGCTATCTGTCTTGGGGCATATGCAATGGGATTTGAAAGGGGATGGGGACTGACCATGCCTCTTGTGGACAGGTGGCTCCCTAACAAGAAATCTGACTCACTGTATTCATAAGGTACCATCTTGGTAGTCTTCTCAGACACTACCGGTGACCCAGATTGGCCCTTCTTTGAACTGCAGGATTCTTTCCATGCATGAGACCCACCAGGATCCAAAACTTATTTCTCTTTCAGTTGTTTTTCTTCCCTATTACTTCTCATGATGTGCTGGACTTTCTTTCTGTTTGAAAATGGGGTTTCAAGAAGAATGTAGAGGTGTAGGGTGAAACAAATCATGAAAATGGAAAAACCTGTTGCTATGTGCAGTTTTAATTTATCAAATCAGAAATAGGGTTAAACCAGGAATTTCTGCACCAAAACTTTCTTGTGTATGAAACAGCATGTAAAATGTTCAGATCCTATATCCAATAATAACAAGGTGGTTTTCACATTTTGCTTCTCTTCCTCCCTTAGGAAGTCTAAACAGGATAAAAAGCCATTATTATCTTCTATATATTCTCAGTACCTAGTTGTCCTTTCTGCTTAAATTTAGCATTGAATGTATACTAATCAACAGCAGATATACTTCAAGATTTATAGCTTGATTTAGGAAATCTTTAAATGATGTTACCATTCATGTACATAACATCTTTATACAAAAGTACATATATGAAATAACTTGTATTTATTTGAATAGGGTTGACCTTTTTCATGTGCATCTGATACCTTTGTAATAAAATTTGGAAAGAACAAAATGGAGAAATAATGGTGATCTTGTTTTGCCATAAATAGATTTCCCATATATGAAAATGGGAAATATCGGAAGGGTGCAGTACAACTCCCAAAATGCTGCAGGAAGCAATCCAGTGATGTGGTGATGTCACCAGGAGGGCAGTGCTGACGTTTTTCCAGGCCTTCTGCTGGAGGGAAAGCTTTAAGGATTGGGGTGACAACAGAACTTCTCTGTGAAACCCAACATATAAGATGAAGCAGTGACCTGATGTAGTATCATTCTTATTGTGAATTATTCTAAACATATTTTGTTCAGAAGCATAAGTATGACTAGATCAGGCTTCTGTAGGCTGCTTGTTTCCATACAAGCAATAATAGAAAAATACCCTACTAGCTCATGATGATTAAATATGAAAGCTATCTTATTTATAGAGTCTTATAATAAAAAATAAGCTGGCAAGATGTGAAGCAAAGTGCCAATTTCACACAGGCTGAAGAATTACCTTAAGGGTTTTTTAAATGCTAAATTGGGGGAATACAGAGCCACCTGGGAAATTAGAAGTCCATGGCGGGATGCATTCTGAAGAGTGTGTCTAAGGATAAGTGACTGGCCATGCTTCCATGGCAGTGAGAGGTGTGCTTTTGTGAAGCAGCCAGAGGACCCTGTGGCAGCCATTTTGTGCGAGTGCCCACAGCAGGGTCTGAAAACCCTAATACTGAAACAGCCGCCTATTTCAGCAGAGTTACTCACAGGCACTCCCAGCAATATTCTAGCTCCCTGACAAATTAATCAGTCTTACCATGATTGAATTATTTTCCCCAATCCCTACTACATTCATCTCAGGTGAAATGAGCCCTGAGAGTCGGAAAGATTGAAACGGCGTAAAAGCACCAGTAAATAAATGCATATATTACATGCGCACGAAAATGGAAACAAGTGCTAAAGGAGGGGATGTCATTTTGCCAACTGCACTATCTAGGCTGAGACTTCACGAAAGCCTTGCCTCGCAGGCGGAAAGAAGAGCGAATCGTGAAACTGGTGGAGCTAATTCCTACTCCAGCATGCAGTTTTCTAATCGGCCCCAAACGGAAGGCTCGTTTAAAGGTTTGTCCGCAAGTTGAGGAAAAACAACGCCCCGTCTTCTGCCCCCTGAGAACTAGGCTAGTTCGGGCCCTTCTTATTTCCAAGAACTTCTGCATTCGGGAGCATCCGACGTTAGCGAAACGACGGGGGACTGGTCCACAAGAGGTTGCATTTCAGGGGCGGGGGAAGAGCTCCGCCGCGAGACTTCTCTTTCCCCCCTAATCGGGGCAGCGTTTGTCTTTTCCTCAAAACCTGGAAGCGCAGCCTCGCGCCCCTCGCATTCCCGCTTCGTTCCTGACGCCGAGAGCGGGCTGCCCAGAGCCCAATGACCTCCTCTCGGCTCGGTTTTTGTTTAGCTTAGCAACCGCCGCTCCCTCCCTCGGTAGGCGCCTGGGAAGGCAGAGAGGCAGGCCTACGCAAGCCGGGTGGCTGGCTCCGTCTCGCTTCTTCTCCACCCGCCTTCGGTCCAGACCCCCAGAAGGGAAGCCCCGCCTGGCAAAGAGGAAGCGAGACAGCCGCCCCAGCCCCGGCGCATCTGTCCTGGCCTCCGCGCCCACCGAAGTCCGTCTTCGCGCCGAGAAGCGGCGGCACCATGAAGGTGGCGGTCCTCGACCTGGGCACCGTTTTTGCGAAACTCTTCAAGCCTGCC